AAATAAAGCCTTCTTAAAAAAACATTTAAAAAAAACAACCAGAGAATACCCCAGAGTCAAGAATGCTATTGATGTATGTTGATACGGAGACATTCAAATAGCTATGAATGAAAGTACAAATGATGGAAAAAACAATGAAAGCCATAAATAAAGGGAATAACCTAAGGGTGAGAAGAAAGATATTGATGAGGAGAAACTGGCACACCTATGGAAGAAAGTACAAAAGATGGGGGAAAGAATTGAAACTATAGCTAAAGAGGTACAAGAGCTTGAAAAAAAATAATAACAAGATAGAGTACAGCCAACACAGTACTATAAATAACAGAAATGCAAGAAAATGTCATATAGAATATTAAGACCAAAAGTATTCATGATTCTGGAAGGACAAACAAAAAGTAGAACAGAAGAGAAAGAGCAGAGAGTGAGTGAACTGGAAGACAAGAACCTCAATAAAAACATACTAGGAAAAAATATGAGACATGAGACATAAAGGAAAATGAAGAAAACATTAGAATCATATAGAATTGCATCAAAAGGAATAACATACAGGTGACTGGAACTCTAGAATTTGAGAGGGACAAGGAAATCACTGAGAAAATTGTAAAAGTACTAGAAGAAAACTTCCCAGGTATTATGAAGAATGAGGAAGTCCACATTCAAGAAGCTCAGTGAACACCAAATAGATTAGATCCGAAAAAGAAAACTTTCAAGACATATCCTAGTAAAATTCTCCAAAATAAAATAAGGATTTGATACTAAAAGCAGCACACGAAAAACAAAGAGTCAACTACAAAGGAAAAGCAATTAGATTAAGTCCTGATTTCTCAGATGAAACCATGTGAGCAAGTAGACACTGGGATGGCATATAAAGAAAGTTGAAAGAAAATAATTGTCACCCAAGGATCTTGTGCACAGCAAAGTTCTCCATCAAATATGGAGAAATCACATATATTGCAGAAAAGAAGAAACTTAAAGAATTTGTGAAAAGAAGACCAAATCTACAAGAACTTTTAAGGGAAATCCTTTACATAGAGACATCAAAGAAAAGTGGATTAATCATATTAAGAAGAAACAACAACAACAAAGAAACACAATAAAATAGCAATGATAAAACCTGGACTGACAATAATCCCACTTATGTGAATGGACTAGATGCACCAATCAAAAGAAAAATGGTACTAGAATGGATTAAAAAAACCCCAAAGTCCTTCAATATGTTATCCACAAGAGACACACCTAAGAAATAAAGAGAAAAATAGACTCAAAATCAAAGGCTGGAGTCAGCGGGGAAATTAAATCAAGCAAAGAGTATATACAAAAAAGCAGGAGTGGCAATATTAATCTTTGATAAAATTTACTTCTGAATGAAAACCACAACAAAAGGTAAGGAAGAGCACTATAAAATTATTAAAGGCACAGTAGAACAAAAGACAAAACATTTGTCAACATCTATGCACCAAATGCTAAATACATAAAACAATGGTTAACAAAATTGAAGAAAGAAATAGCACCACAGTCGTGGTAGGAGACTTTAACACACAACTTTCCCCAAAGGATAGGTCAACTCAAAACAGACTTAACAAAGATGCAGAAAATCTAAACTATACATTCAGTCAACTTGTTCTTGTGGATGTATTCCCAGTACTGCACCCAACTAAAACTCAATTCACTTTCTTCTCAACTGCACATGGTACATCCTCCAGAATTTATCACATATTTGGGCAGGAAGCAAAACTCAACAAATTAAAAAACATTGAAACAATACAAAGTATTCTCAGAGCTTGATGCTGTAAAATTAGAAATTAACAACAAAAAGACAAAGCTTATAAAACCACCCATGTGAAAGTTAAATAGCACCCTCTTAGAACACAATATGATTATAGAAGAAATAAAGAATGAGATAAATTTTTCTTAAATGATAATGAAAATACAAGTTGCCAAAACCTCTGGAATGTACCTAAGGCAGTCCTCAAGGGAGCAGTTCATAGCAATAAGCAAATACATAAAAAAAAGAAGAAAGAAGTAAAATTAATGATCTAACTCAACATCTTCATCAAACAGAAAAAGAACAACAATCTAACTCCACAGAAGTGAATCTAGAAGAAAGGAAATTATAAGAACTAGAGCTCAAATCAACGAGATAAAAAAACAGAAAAGCAACTGAAACCTTCAACAAAACCAAGAGGTGGTTTTTCAAAAGGGCCAATAAAATTGACAAACCATGAGAAAATTTAACAAAACGGGAAAAAAAGAAGACAATATTAGTTCAATTAATTAGTCATAGAGGTAGCATCACAACAGAACCTGAGGAAATCAAATCTACAATATCAGAATATTATGAAACACTAAACTCTGATAAATTTGAAAACATAAAGGAAGTTCACAAATTCCTTGAAACTCATGCCCAACTCAGATTGACACAATCAAATGTAGAACATTTGAACAGACCCATCACAAAAGAAAAACTTGAGCAGGTCATGATAAGACTTTCCCACAAAAAAGTCCTGGACCAGATGTCTTCACAGGTGAATTCTACCAAACATTCAGAGAAAGTTTATCCACAATTCTATTTAAATTATTTCAAAAAATAGAGGGGGGGGGAACAATCCCAGTGACAGTCTATGAAGCAAGCATAACATTAATACCCAAACCAGGCAAAGATATTACCGAAAAAGAAAACTACAGATCGATCATGAACACAGATACAAAAATTCTTAACAAAATCCTCATCAATATGCTGAGTGAAATATCTCAGTCGCAAAAGGACAAATATTGCATGGTGCCACTGTTGTAAAATGGGACTGATATCAGGGTTGAGGTAAGACTGA